CCTAAACATGCAGTAATGATCAGGTTCAGTTGTTCACAAAACTCCTAAGCCAAATCTCTTTGTACTAGGGCGTTTTGCTCATCTAATACTAGTTCATGTGATTAATAATGCTCTCACATCTATCAAAAACCTAGGGTTTCGAAATCCAGATGATGTGTCTAAGAAATCGATATGAATGCAAGCACAGATGAAGAACCAATGAATTTCCTATAAGTTTTTAGCAATTCTACAAACTCTTCTTCAACCTTTGAAAAGCCCTAACCCAACTAACAAACTACTCAGACATGGTGATTTGAGAAAACATCATGAAAAGAATAGATTGCATAATAGAAATAAGGAGTAGAAATAAATGAGTTCAAAATCTGCTCTAAAAGAGTCTGATTTGTCTCTCCAAAAGCTCTTCTACAAATCTCTCTCTAAAACTCTCAAAAATAATAAGATACAAGATATATGCCAAAAGAATGGCTGAAAAACCTAATATACAAGCTAAAACACGATCTGGGGTCTTTTTGAAAAAACTGGAACTTCTGGGCCAAAACTGCAATTTCTTCCCAATCTTTTAAAAACAGGCCACGACCTCCTTTCTTGGTGGGTGACGAGCGTCACCAGCTTGGTGACGAGCGTCACCCATATGCATACTTTCTTCTTCGAGCTGGATACTTCGTGGCTTCAACTTGCAATGCTCCAAAAGGCTCCAATATCTCCAGTTATGCTCCAGACATGCTATAACCTGCAAAGACTCTTCTAGAACTCTAAAAAGACCAAAAAGACTCAATAAAAAGAACTTATATCATGGTTAAAAACCATAAAAACCATGATATATCAGGTGTACAAGTGGCAGAGCAAGATGATCAAAAAGCTCGCCAAGAAGATCAAGCAGCTCCAAGGAAGCTCATCTGATGCATCTTCAAGTGAAGAGGTCGAGCAGCCCGAGAAGAGAAGGAGATCTACGGGCGGTATTGAGATCTGTGAACCGCAAGGCAACAACCAAGCTGCAAGACTCTCTCTCCATGAACCCGCGACAAGCAAGGGCAAAGGCAAGGCTGTCACTCAAGACCCTCCTACCAAGAGCAGGAAGTCTGGAGCATCCTCAAGCTCCAGCCGAGCCTAGCTCCAAGGTACCAACAACCATCCCTTGTATATACCACACATGTTTTCTTTGCTTTTTGCTTTGTGTTTTGAACTCCTTTAAATTTGTTTTCCACCGAGACGGTGTCATTCAAGTTTGGGGGAGTGTGTGGTGTGTTTGACATGTTTTCTTTCTTCTTATTTTCTGTTATCATCCTTTGAGTCTTGCATACATCATAAGGCATAGAAAAGAACAAAAATATTGGTAAAATTTTTAAAAATTTTCAAAAAAATTCATGTAGTTGCACTTGCATTGTAGAATATTTTAGGATTGAGTCTAGAATTTTTAAAAATCATTTAGGTTGTTGCATTTGCATAGGGAGTAAATGATAAACACTTGTTAAGTTGTCAATGTTTGAATTGTTTTCAATGCCTAAGTTGTTTGTTGTTTGATTGCATCTAGTGAGTTTGAAGTTAAGGCTGCACCATACCTTGATTACTTGTAATTGATACTCTAGTCTTATGTTGAAACTCGCTTTGATTTGATACCAACTCCATCTTATTAGAACCTTAATCTTGACACTGAATTATCTTGTTTGTGCATTGAAAGTGATTGCATGGCTTACCTTTATACATACTTGGATTATCTTCTTCCTTTCTTACCACCCTTGTTAATCCAAGTAGCTGATCCTCATCATAATAGGACAGTTAACCAAGCCTTAAACCTAACCTTCTTTCAAACCTAAACACTTTTGCGTGAGTAGTGAGGCCTTTCATTGCATTATTTTCAATCCTATCTTAGCAAAAAGTGTTAGGAATAGGGCTGGCAAGGAGAAGCTCCCTTGTAGACACCAGCTTGCATTTTGAGCTTGGTATTAGGTTAGGAGTTTGGGGAAAGGGTCATTTGAGTGGTTTAAGGGTTTATATGTTTTCAAAAATAAGAAAGAAGTGGGGCTAGTAACAAAGGGGGAACGAGTTAAATGTGGTTAAGTAAAATAGATAAAATGCTCTAAGTGTTAAAGAAAAGAAAGGCGCCAGCAGCAACAAAGCTAAGAAGAGGTCAACCGAAAGGAAAAAAATCTGACCAAGCTATCCACCAAAGCTGATGAAAGCGGCGCCAAACAATCAACAATGAAGAGCAAGGCCTAAAAAGAAGAAGTCAACCACACGGCAAAGCCAAGAGAAGTTTCCCCCATTGTGAAGAGTGAAGATGATCTTGGGTTTTAGAAGTTTCTAGGATCATCTTGGGTAAAATGGGTAGAAGGGAGCTTTAACTTGCATGCATAGGTGTGCATTTACCTTTAGTATTTTAACAAAGATAGGATTCTTTCATTGATTGATCCCCTGATTTTTTAAAACCCTTCTTAAAACGAGATCATTTTCATCTTGTAACCTTACCCCTTTGACCAAATGCTTTCGCTTGATGTGCACAACTTGATCTATTGGTTGACGCTTAATGAATGTTAAGGAGTAGGTTGATTTGAATGCTTGTGTAGACTAAGCTAGGGTTCATTGCTTGCTTTGATGGGTATGGCTAAAGTTTTTAAAGTAGAACAACCTCTTTGCATCTTAGAACTTATAACTTGGGCATTGAATCGATTTCTCCATTGACATCTTTCGTTTTGAGCTTCCACTTTCAAACCTCTCTTCCTTCTTGAATTTTGTTTGCTTGAGGGCAAGCAAAAGGCAAGTTTGGAGGAGTTGATATTACAACATATTTTGCATATTTTGCATGCATATATGATAGTTTTTCATGCATTCATCTTGCATTATAGGCTAGTTTGCACTATTTTAGGTCCTAGAGCACTTTTGCATTAGCATTCGCATATTTCTTGCATTATGCATCATATTCAGGTTGTTTTTGGACACTTTGGAGCTGTGGAGGATTCATGGACATGTTAAGGCTCGTGAGAAAGCTTGTGGACACTTGGAGAACTCAACCATTCAGCAAAGGACCTGAGATCGAGTTGCGGATCGGGCAAGACAGGTCGATCTAGACGAGATCGACCAGAAAATCGAGTGACCCCCAGTCGATTCAAGAGGAAGATCGAGCATGAGATCGAGTGAGGAGGTCGATCGAGAGTACGGACGTGGGCCATGCCATGCAGATCGAGGGCCAGATCAAGTTCCCAACCCAATCATCAAAGGATCGACTCAAAGATCGAGCGAAGTTATCCAATCCAAGAGAAGATAGAGCCGGAGATCGAGTGACCTGAGTCGATCCCAGACTAACCTTATCTGTCAAGCTGGTTTTGGCAGCTAGCGAAGGGGGGACCATTTGCGGTTTAGCCATTTTTGGCAAACCACAGCCATCGCTTTCATTATCCTCTGTTCTGTCTTTTACTTTTTCGCTCTCCTCTTCCTTAGGCGATTTTTCGCCATTGTAGACTTTAAGCTTTTCGTGCATTTTGAACCTTTGAATCTTGAAATCATTAAGTCTTTTGCTTTAATCCATCGTTTAATCATGATTAGCTGTTCATCCTTTGCATTCTGTTCAGTTTTATTTATGAATCGCGAGTAGTTTCCTTAGGGTAAGGGGTTGAGGTGATTCGAAAAGGGTCAAAAGGGTTTAAGTTTTGTGTTTTCTATGTTCTTCATACCTTCTCTTCTAGGATCTTGGGATCTTAAAGCCTAGAAAGCCTTGGAAAAGGTCTCTATGAACCAAAGGCTGTCTTACCTTGACAGGATTCAGATGTCCTGGAAAACCAGATCCTAGAGGCTAATCCTTCCTTTCCTATACGCCATGGTTGTTTAGGGGATTAGTTAGGTCATTATTTGAAATCTGTTTTTCTTGCTCTTCGATCTCTTTTTCCACCAAACGCCATGGGTTTGGAGAAGAGATTGAGGAAGTGAACCATATCACACGCCATGGATGGTTCTTATTTTGTTTTCAAGGCTTAGAGAAACCTCTTAAAAGAGTATATCTAAAAGTTTTCAAACCAAAGCTTAAACCTTTGATACCCTTAAATATGACCCTCGACCCTAAACCCTCTCTTTTTAGCTTATTAAAACCTCTGTCATTCGTTTGCTTGTCATAAAGTTGCACCCTGTTCATTAGAAGTTGTTTCGCTTTAAGTTGTTTGTTAGATCGATCCATTCTGCCCGATCCAGTGATCGATCATGTGGTCGATTCACCGGTCGATTTTTAATTCTTAGTAACTTTGTATTTTTTATCTTTTGTTTATTCCTCGTGGTAGTTAACCCTCTTCCAGGTTTTTTAAAATTGTTCTGCATTGCATTAGATCGTTGCATTTAATTTTCCTTGATTTTACCAACTGTTTATCCATTTTGCTTAGATTTGCTTCATCCTTGCATTTTTAGTGGCTCTTCCTGCATCCTAGGTTGAATTGATTCCTCTTGTACACTATACTACATCTATATGTTAGCTTGAGTTTTGATAACCTCTTGCTTACATAGTAAAAATCATGTTATCATGTTTGAATTGTTAATGGTGTTGAATGACAAATTTAGATGCTGATATACATTGACTAATTGGTGACCATGAATGAAATTTTTGGCTATGAATAACTTAAATACATATTTTTTTTAAAAAAAAATCTCACTTTATTTCTATCGTAAAGATTACATTGTTCAATCCAAGTTTTTGTTATTTTTTAAGTTTGAGTTTTCCTATACGATTGTAATAGAATCTCCTATAGATTGTGATTCGTTCTTTGTTCACATTTTTTAAACTTAAGAAGAGTAATAACTAAAAGTAAATAAAAAGAATCTAATATACATATCAGTTTGTACATTTTGATTTTGAACGTTAATAAAATATTTTTGTCGTCCACAATTTACATATACGCTATCAAATTCAAACTCAGAGTAAAACATCATCAACACTAATGGAAACGTCTAGACTACAAACTCTGGTAGATTTAAAGTTCAGTTCTATTTCAATTTTTACATATCTGTAAATAAACAAAATCGTTTACACTTAATCAATAGAATAGAACCAAATAACTGAAGTATATATATAGAAAAACAGTAATACATAAATTAAGTATCGTTAAATTCTTCTTAACATTGTTTGGTTCTAAACCTACTAGTCATCAAACATAACTTTTGAGAAAGAAAGAAAAACAGAACTTTCGTAAAGAAGAAAAAAAGGAGACTGAAGTTCCAAGAAACATGGAACATCAGTCATTAGTTGTTGTTGTTGTTGTTAGAAGGTTGACCAGTCCAATAAGTTTTAATAGCAACAAGAATCTTCTCAGGATTGTACGGACCTTTCTCATGATCCGCAATCTGAGTATCCCACTTCATCCCCTTCGCTATCCTCATTACTTTCGTCAACGTCTCCACATTATCTCTCAGCACCACCGTTCCTTGTGGTCTCAATATTCGATCCATCTCCAACAATATCAGCGTCATATCACACCTTCCATACAAAACAAACAATCATTAGTTTCGTTTTAACTTTGTTAGAATATCTCACATCTAAAACAAGAAGAAGCAACCTAAAGTATTATATAAGGGACATTAGGTTTTGAGGTTTGAAAATAAACGCTACTTACCCTAACACAAGATAAAACAGCTTTTATTAGTTATAGTGTTTACATTTATAGCGCAGATGCAAAATGCTACTAAGTATACAATTAACCAACTCATGGTGAACTAATGGTCACAAAATCATTGTGGAACTAAGGATCCAAGTTAGAGTTTCCAACTTTATTCTATAAGACCATCTCCAACCATATACTAAATTTGATGTTATGTTTTATTTTACAATAAGATTTGCTCCAACTCTGTCTTATTTTTAATTCTATAATAGAATAATGCTATTTTTTCTTCCAAATTTGGAACCATCTCATTTTCTATTCTATTTTAGAACTGAACTTTTTATTTATAAACTAATCTTTCAAATTTTAAATAATTTTACTTTAAAAATTATAAAAAAATATTTTGATGATGGTGACTTATTTTTATTGATGATAATAAATAATAAACTACTCTAATAACATAAACCAAATTAAAATCAAAATAACATATATTTAATACAAATTATATTCACATAAATTATAATAAATTTACTTTGTTTCATCATTTTTATGTATTGCAATGTGTCTTTTTATATTATAAAAGTTAAATTTAAAGAATAATTTATGGAATATTTGAAAGAAATTTTGATTATTGGGTCAATATCTAAATTTTAAAAATGTGTATAATTAGCAATTAATAATAAAACAGAAAAGGTATAATTAAAATATTCTTTTTTGAAATAGAAAATAGAATAGTACATTGTATCATTCTACTTTTCATCTAAAAATAATTATAAGATAGAAGTAAATTTCTCTTCAATGTTATATTCTATTTTCTATATCAAAAATATTATTTTAAGTATATTATTGTTTTCTGTTTTGTTATTAATTGCTAATTATACCTCTTTTATTCCAAATTATAAATTGATCCATTGAATTAATTTCTTTCTAACTTCTATAAATTATGATATATTTTAAAAAATTAAAACATTATAATATAAATAAAATTATACTAAATAAAAATGATAAAACATAGTAGATTTTATTTTATTTTATTTTTAATTTCAATATTTTGAAAATATTTTAAAATTTATTATGGTTTTTGTCATTATATTTTCTATTAAATATATATTATTTGCATTATAGTACAATTAAATTTATAATAATCACTAAAAAGAAATCATCATCAAAATAATTATTTATAATTTATAAAAAAGGACAATTATTAAAAATTTGAATGATTATTTTATAAATAAAAAAGTTCAATTCCAAAATAGAATTGAAGATAAGGTGATTTCATATTTGGAAGCAAAAATAGCATTATTCTATTTTAGAACTAAAAATAAGATAAAGTTATAGCAAATTTTATTATAAATTGAATTTGACACCAAATTTAGTATAAAAATGAGATGCTCTAATGATGACTATTAGTCTAAACATTTTAAATGCTACTAATTATACAATTAACCAACTCAGTATGGTCTAGCGATTTAAGAACATCTCCATCAATTTTCTCACATATGTAAATATATATATATATATATATATTATTTTGAGTGGATATCTCAAATAAATGAGAAACCCACTAAAAAATATTAATATTTCTTCTTTTCTGATTGTGAGAAATTCATGTGAGAAACCATATGGAGATGCTTTAATATTCAGTATGGGATGCAGATAAGAGTTCGAGTGTCCCACTACTATAAACGTTCAAAGTAACACTAAGCCTAACTATCCGATTTTTCAAATGGGAAAACTAGAAAAAAAAGGGTAGTAATTACCTGTTCTCATATAAGCTGAACAATCCTCCTGCATGAATCATATCATAAGTTCTTGGATACGTAGAGAACCCTTCACACCAATCTTGATATGTCCCAATCAATCCACGCTCGTAGATCACACCTAACGTCTGCTTCTCCGCATGGACAGGAACAACATTCATCACCCAAGAAGGATACTTAAGCATCGAAGCAGCGAATCCTCCGAGGTAAGCGTTCATATCCATTATGTTCCTGAATCTTCCATGTGAAAGCTCTGGGATTATCTTCTTGTAATGAGCTATCCTCTCTTTCCAAACCTCGTTGTCTTCTCTGAACTTCTCAGCGTTGATGTCTTGTACCGTTCCTCTGATGATCCTAGGAGGAACAGCGAATGCTCTGTCTGGCCAATCCTCGAGCGCACCGCCTGCAGCTTCATCTGGATTGTTTGTGTTTGGTAATGGTGTTATGCAAGATTCCAAGTCTTTGTACCTTAAAAAACAGAGAGGTTTCAAGATTTGAGTTGTTCTTGAACAGAGTTTGCAGATTTAGATGAGGATTTTACCAAGCGAAATCGGCGTTATCTGTGTTGCATATCGGAGGAGATTTACTGTTTTCTTTGAGCTTTTTACACTCAATGTGGTTCAAAGGCTTTTGCCAAATGGATAAGTCACCTTTCTCAGTCACTTTCTTCCAACAAAGACTCTTTGCTACATCTTCTATTGAATCTTGTTCTTGCTTCAGATCCTCCTCTGTTCTCTCCCAACCTCTCCAGTATTGTTTCCAGTTAATCGGTGGACCGGAGAGGATCCAATAACCGCCCGGTCTTAAAACCCGGTCAACCTCCATTAGGTACAACCCATCTGCATAAGATTGTAGTGTTAACGTCCTTGATGAGTGTTTCTTGAACAGAGAAAAAGAATAAGTAAAGACTGAGATTTTGATTACCATTTTTAAACCAAGGGATCAAACAACGAGAGCAATGAGCAAGATCAAAAGCTCTAGCTGGATAAGGAAGCCTTCTTGATCCCATGATCCCTATTATCGCAGGAACTCCACGTTCTAAAGCAAACTGTACCTGAGCTTCATGAGTGTCTCTTGGTGCAAAAGAAACAGCCATGATGTCTCTCTTCAAGAGATAAGCACCAAAACTCGCAACCTAATCAAGAAACATGGTTTCCGAATCAAAGTACAAAAGGAGAGGAGAGTATATTGAAATTGAAAAACAAAACTTACACCACATCCAGTGTCAATAGCTGTTCTGATCCCACCATCAGTAAGAGGAATGAGTCTAGCAATGTCATCGATATAAGCATCGGCTCCACGTGGAAACATAGTTCCTCCACCGGGGAATCTAAACCGGTCTCCTTCTACTTGAATCCAGTTTTGGACAGCTTTCTCAACACTAAGCTCCTTGTGAGGGATGTTGTCATACCAAGCATAGTCTCTGCTTTGTGGCCATTTGAATGGGATCTTGTAGTTTGGTGGAGGAGGAATCAAACAATAGAGAAGCTCATCTTTTGTAGGGCAATGCCTTTCTCTATACTTCATCATGTTCCTATCGAATCTCCTTCCTCTTTGTCGGTCTTCACAAGGAGTGTATTCACTGAGGGACAAGTCACATGGTTCAAAGTGCTTGATGGTTTGGTTTGCCTCCTTGAAGTCAACCTGGTTCTGGCTTTTGAAATCTAATTCAGATGACTCAGAAGATGAGGAAGAGGTAGAAGACGAAGAAGAAGGATTCGATGATTGAGTCTCGCATCCTATTTTAGAGAAAGAAGCAGGGGCATTGTTGTTTTGCCATGCGCCTAAAACGTAAAACAGGATACAGAGTCCGCTTACACCAAGAACCAAAGTTAGTTTCTTTCTTCTTGCTTCTGTTTGGTGATGAGTACCAGTGTTCTCTTTCGCCATTCTTGGGTACAAAGACAGAAACTTTATCTGATGAGAAAAGAGATTTGAGACAGAAACAAAACAGAGAAGAGGAGAAAAAAAAAAATCAAGTCTTTGTAAAAGTTACAAGTTGTGAGTAATGAATAAGAAGGAGAAGGCCATAGTAAATTTTGTGAAGGATGTCAAATGTGAATCACCATCACAGAAGTAGTAGTAATGTGATAAGATTATTGATCAGTGAGGAAAAAAATAAACAAAAATTAAGGTAAAAAAAAAAGAAAAAGATTCTCTATTCTTTAGCAAAACAATAACCAAGAACAGTTAAGTAGAGAGAAATTAGGAAGTTGACCAAGAACAGCCTCATTATCCTCTATTGCCTCCTTTAATCGCGTTTTACCATATATGTATACAAACATCGTTGGTTGAATTAAATAAAACTTTAAATACGCGTTTACATAATATGTATTAAATCCACTCTGAAACATTCACAAGATTTCCCACCTATATCTTACTGTGATTATGAGAATAATAAATGGGCTACATTTTCTAAGGAATTTTTTTTGCCTCTTTACAGAAATATTTGTCTGTCACACTAAGGGAAGGTGATTAATGATATTGGTTCCTTTGTGGACTGTGTTCAAAGTTCAAACCATTTCTTCATGTAACAGAGAAACCACACCCATTTTTACTGACATGAATATGTAAAAATGAAAGAATCCACAAGTATGGAGTGTACAGTGTTCACCTTGAAGGCAAGCGCAACTCTTCACTCTTAGAGACTTTGGAGTAAAATTTAATCTATACATAGGCTATATGGATCCTTACCATCAAAAGAAGTTTATCTTGCACGTTTCTTGGTTCCCATTTATTAGGGATTATCTGCTTCTTCCTCTTTCTCCTTTCTCATTATTAGGGTTCATAGTTTAGGCAGTCATGTAGAGCAAATCTTGTTAGAGCAAATCTCGGTAAAGATGCTAAACGAAAATATTCTAGAGATTCGTTTCTAAGGGATAAAACTCTTTAAAGATTTTCTCGTATATAATAACAAACATTCCTCTGTTACATTTCTGCTTGAGATATCATTTAATTACGTCTAACAAGCTTAGAGTATAAATTTGGTCTCCGAGTTTGATAATTATGTCACAGCAATCCAAATCCAGCTTGAAGAATAAAAAAACATAGATGTTCTTTCAAGTTCAATCAAATAGTAAACAGGAAACACACGGTTCATTATAAATAAGAAAATGAGAGAAGATTAAAGAAATGTCTCAAAAACTTTTGCAAGAAACAGAGTAAATTGAAAAACCCAACATATAGGAGGATAATGAGTTTGCATCATCATGGTCCAAAGGAAACAAAACTACAAATCCAAAAGACATGAAAACAAAAAGCTACGACTATATCACTGTTCCAGCATATGAATATAATATAGCTTTCATTCTTTCATTCTTCAACAGCAATCTTGCCCTTCTCGCTCACATAGATACCATCAAGAAACTTCCTAATATCCTTCTTCTTCACATGGCATTTCTGTTTAAGAAACAACAATCATCAATAAGAAAAGTTATAAACAAAGGCAAAGTCTACAGCTTTACTATGCAAAACATAACCAATCAATCACATCACAACCAGTATTCACCACCATTACATTTTCTGCGTTTCTTTTGACATTTAAGAGAAACCCATCTGAAAATACATTACCATTCTTACTTTATCAAGCTCAAGATCAAACAATCATCAAATAAGAGAGAGAGAACTATCATCAAAAATTTACAACTTTACTATGCAAAATCATAATCAAACCCATTTGATACATGTACCATTCTCACTTTCTCAAGCTCAGAATCAAATAATCATCAAATAAGCGAGCTACTAATAAAGGCAAAGTCTCCGGCTTTACTAATCAAATCATAATCAAAACCATCAGAAATAGGATTCAACACAATTACTTTCTTTTCTCCTAAGTTTCTAAGACAATTAAAAGAAACCCATCTAATAAATTTATCAATCTTTCTCAATTAAAGATTCCATAACTTTTCAGTCTCAAAACTGGACGAGTAATAAGAAACTAAAAGAGCAGAGAGTACCTGGTTGATCAAAGCGCATGACCTTGAGACAAGCTCGATATCATTTCCCTGAAGAGTAATCTCATCCTTAACTTTCTCAGATCGAACAATGGTAACACCATCCAACATATCCACCTTCCTGACCTGTTCATACCATTTCAACACATAAACACGCTAATCTTCCAAAACAACATTCCAAAAAGACAAAAAATCTCAAATCGGATGAACGAAAGAACGAACCTTCTTCTCGCCAAGGAAGTTACGGATCTCGATGGCTTTGTTGTCACTGGAGATCGAAGCGTTGATTGGAAAATGGGCATACACGAACCTCATCTTGTAAAGGAAACCTTGAGTGACACCAGCGATGAGATTGCCAACGTGGCTCAGAGCAGTTCGGATCGAAGCACTTGCTTTGCGAGATCCGAACCATGAGTCGATCTTGAGCTGTCTCTTCCCAGTGACCTCGTCCTTGATCAGCTGGAAATCGAGGTTGAGATGCTTGAAATCTCGGATGAGTTTCCCTCGTGGGCCTTCGACTTCGATCACCTTGGCGTGAACCTTGATGGCGACGCCGTCGGGGATGTCCATCGTCTCAGATGACAAGATCGTCTTCATCTTTGGTCTCTGAGAGAAAGCGACGGCGAATGGATTTTTTTCCTCTGGTTTGGAGTTTGCTCTAGGGTACAAGAAAAACCCTAGATTCGTTTATATATAAGTTCACCTGTTTATAGGTTTTTTTATTTTCTTTGGTAATACAAAATGGCCTTACGATTAAGTATAAAAGCCCATGAGATGAATTAAAGCCCATAAAGTTCATTTGTAACAACAAAATGTCCATAAAGTGGCTCCGATACTCTGAACTTTGTAACAAAAGACTTCAAATTTTATGCTTTCCTCTATTTCTCATTTAAGCAAATTTTGATTTTGACATATGATTACACTATAACATTGCAAAGTCGAATCTATCACATAGTTTTATAACCCCCTTAGATTGTCCCTCTGCATCAACTAAAAGAACCTTTTGTGTCAGTGCTAAACTACCAAATGCAAATGGTGTAGAACAAAGTATATTACCTCATGATCCATTGCTAGAGAAAATAGACCTAGCAACATATAACAAAAAGGGTTCAAGAGTAGAATGGCATGTATAAAAAGTAAATATATTTTCTTTATTCTTTGAATCTCCTATTCAAGAATTTGCTAAGATGAAGCGACGTAACAAAATGAATAAACTGAACAATGGCATAAACGTTTTGAATCAAGCAAGACGGCCATGTATGGGAAAGTAAACATTAAAAATGTAATTATAACTTGAGAAACCTTAAGCTATATAAATTTTCAAATACCATGATTACCTAACTAATCAAAGAATGATGATTAACAGAGATGTTCATATTTCTCGTTAGAGTCGTCGTCTGAGAATAATTGTGTTAGATTCATTAGCGTATTGCGTGAGAGAGGAGAAGTTGGTGAAAACGGAGAATTTATCATAGGTCGAGGGAGAAGAAACGACTCAAACATCAAACCTTATAGAGATTAAATATTGTTTTTTGTTGGGTTATTAACTTATTAATAAAAGTGTGATCATTAGCAGAATGCAAAAAAAGACAAACTGTAAAAACAAAAAAAAAGAAGACTAGACAAGATCAATGCGTCACAGTGGCAGAACACAGAAGGGACTCGAGTCCACCAGATTCACTTAGGTTCAATGTATATACGATCTTTGACCATTCCATGATCCCACAAAGCTCTTCTCTACTTCGTCTCTCAAGCGAAATCTCCGCACACCAAACCTCAGAAAGATCTCCTTCTTGCTGGTCCGAAACCCACCAAACTGTTAATCTCCTTCCTCCTCCCGGATTCGCAATTGACAAAATTTTAAGTGAGTTTTTCATTCCTTCATCAAGTCCCTCAACCCCTCTCCATATCCAATATTCACCAACAAGATCGCACCAATATAAACGCGGTAGGGACGGCAATGATGCGCACATTATCTTCTCTCCGATTAATACAACGCAAATGTTAGTAAAGGATTGAAAAAAAGTAGTACGCTGACTCTTTTGGATCCTCAAATCTGGCATGAGTGTTGTGGGCGATAATGGCTCCCAAGTTTGGGTCTTGGGATCATAAATCTCTCCCAGGCTATCGTCAGTTATGCCATTTCCTCCAAGCACGAAAATTTTGCCGTCGAATCAAACCAGCAACTGCGTTTGTTCGAGGTGATTGCAATTCAGGGAGTATACGCCATTGATGAGATCGACAATCTAGGAGAAACACTTTTCTGCTTCTCTTTGCATTTACGGTTCCGCCGATTAGGTAAATCTCTGAGCCGGTGGAGATGACGCTTGGACCCGAACGGTGGAGATGTTCGCAAGGTAGCGAAGGGAGTAGTATCAGTTTCTGTTGGTTTGGTGCAAGAACGAACCAGCTAGGTTTAGGGTTATTACAAGGAATGTTTAAGCAGAGATAGATGCAGGTCTCATTTTTTCCGATTAGGGTTCGTGTTACGTCGAGGTCACGCGAAGCAACGAGTGATCGGAAACCCTTGGAGACGAGAGATAAGATGGGACGATGGATTCTTGAGATACGAGCTAAGATGTTGAGAGTGACGTCGTTTGGTAACGACGAAAACAACGTCGGAGGAGGAGGATGACGACACACTGATGATTTCCTCATCTCGTCCCTCGTCGACGTCGTCTTCATAGCGGCGTATGCTTTCTTGAGCGTTCGATTTTAGGGTTTCTGTCCTTCGTTACTTTTACCCTAATTGGATTTATATTAAGAGAAATTAACAAAATAGCTGTATAAGAAAAATAGAATTTTGTTCTTGTTTATTTTTTGGTTTTTTTTTGTTTTTAGGCCCATCTTTACTAAAGATTTCATAAATGTGGGTAAGTTGGTTTTTTTTTTTTTACGGGAGCTGTGTGCGATACGAATATGAATTGGGTATAACATAAGGATGGGAATTGTGATAGAGGGTAAGAACAAAGATTCAGCTCAATCTAGGGACTTCAGAGAAATCACTAGAGACCTGCTTCTTAAAGAAAATGAATTTAATCAAATCTTTTTCAAGGGACTCAAGCGATAACTTGTTTATTAATTCTTAAATCTGTCTTACAAAACTTGAATGAGAAGCTATAAATAGAACTCTAAACCTTGTTACAGCCGACATAGAAAGAGGAAAACCAGAGAAAGGAAATAACTAAAAGCCTTTTTAAAATAAGGAAAAATGACATTAAGTAAAGAAGAACTAAAAAAATAGAAATAGCTATCAATGGCCGATGCTTGTTACTAGTCGTTTAGGATGCTGCTGCATCAGGACTCCCGGGGTGAGAAGGATTCGACCACGAATCGGAAACAGGATCTGTTGGAAGGTAACGGGAAAGATACTTAACGTTAAAGACGTCTGATGTGGTGATATCGGAAGGAAGACGAAAGCGATACGCATTGTCGTTAATACGTTCGAGTACTTCAAGAGGACCAATCTTCTTAGCTTTGAGCTTGTTGTAGGAACGAGCAGGCATGCGATCACGAGTAAGGACAGCCCAAACAAGATCACCAACTTCAAAGACAAGGCAGCGACGATGCATATCTGTTGCGGTTTTGTATTTAACCACAGAAGCTTCTAAATTTGTCTTTGTCTTCTCATGTGTTATAAGAATGTCATCGACAAAAGTCTCAGCAACACCATGGAGTCGGACACGATCCGGAAGAGAAGACAAGTCTGGTGGACCACGAGGGACAATCCCGTAGATAACTTGAAATGGGCTAAAACCAGAGCTTCGGTTTAACGCATGATTATGGGCGAATTCAGCCTGTGGAAGCTTAGAATCCCAAGTTTTAATCGAAGTTCCGACAAGACAGCGTAATAAGTTTCCCAATGAACGATTAGTAACCTCTGTTTGTCCATCGGTTTGAGGATGGTAGGCGGAGCTCATATCAAGACTTGTATCTAGAAGTTTCCACAAAGAACGCCAAAAATGTCCAAGGAAGCAGGAATCACGGTCGGAGACGATGGACAATGATAAACCATGTAGACGATATATTTCCCGGAAGAATAAGGTTACTACTTGGACTGCGTCAGTAGTGCGTTTGCAGGGAATAAAATAAACCATCTTGGAGAAACGATCAACGACAACAAAGATTGAATCAAACCCCTTTTGCGTACGCGGAAGACCCATTACGAAATCCATACTGATATCAGTCCATGGTTGCGTTGGTATGGGTAGATGGAGATATAAACCTGCATTAGACGCTTGACCCTTAGACGTTTGACAAGTAACACAACGTTCAACAAAGCGTTCGACGTCGCGGCGTAAATAGGGCCAAAAATACACGGAGGAAACCAAATGCAAAGTGCGATCTCGACCAACATGACCTTCTTTATGGAGCTCTGAGATGAGTTGTAACCGAAGACTGCAGTCTGGAATGTAAAGACGATTATCACGAAACAGAAACCCATCATGAAGAGAATAGGGTATTGAGGAACCAGAAGTCACAGCTTCCAAAATGGGCCCAAAGAAAGCATCTGTGGAGTACAACTCTGCAAAGGTACCAAAGCCGGGAACGAAGACATGAAGAGTGGTGAGTAAAGAGTGTCGTCTACTTAAGGCATCAGCAACACGATTACTTACACCGGAGGTATGCTTGATGACAAAAGTAAATTGTTGGAGATAAGAGATCCACGAGGCATGGCGAGAAGATACTTTATCTTGCTGGCCAAGATGTTTAAGCGCATCATGGTCGGTATAGAGGACAAATTCTTTGTGGAACAGGTAATGCCGTCAATGCTTGATTGCTTGTATAATGGCATAGAATTCAATGTCGTAAGTGCTATACCGAAACCGTGAACCAGAGATCTTTTCACTGAAAAATGCAATAGGACGATTGCTCTGGCTGAGGACCGCACCAATTCCTGTTTTGGAGGCATCACAGTGTAACTCAAAGACCAATGTAAAATCAGGGAGAGCCAAGATCGGGGCGGAGCTCAACTTTTCTTTGATGAGAGCGAATGCTTGGGATGCAGCTGGTGTTCATACAAACATACCATCACGGATGCAGCTTGTGATCGGGGCCATTAGTGAACTGAATTGTGGAACAAAGCGTCGATAAAAAGAAGCTAATCTGTGGAAACTTCGAGTTTCGGAGATTGTTGTAGGTTGCGGCCAAGAACGAATGGCAGAGACTTTGTCGGGATCCACAGCAAGGCCATCAGCGGAGACTATATACCCCAGAAAGTACACATGCTCAGAGCCAAAAGAACATTTTTTTAATGACGCAAAGAGATTCTCCCGACGTAGGACAAGTAGAACCTCTCGGAGGTGGACGAGGTGTTCTTCAAGTGACATGCTGAAGATTAGAATATCATCAAAGTACACAACCACAGATTTTCCAATGAAAGGGTGCAAAGCTTGGTTCATGACACGCATGAAAGTGCTCGGTGCATTAGATAGTTCAAACGGCATAACCAACCACTCAAAAAGACCTTCGCGAGTTTTGAATGCTGTTTTCCATTCATCTCCTGGGCGAATACGAATTTGGTGATAGTCGCTTCGTAAATCGAGTTTGGAGAAGGCGCGTGCAGCACCTATTTGATCAAGTAAATCATCTAAGCGAGGAATCGGAAAACGATAGCGTACCGTAATCTTATTAATGGCGCGACTATCAACACACATGCGCCATGAACCATCTTTCTTCGGAACTAGCAAAGCTGGCACGGCA